TAAATCTGAATTTAAGAACTTTTAAAATGCGATTCCCGCAATCTAAGAATTAATGTACACTTCTCTCTGTTTGCAATTTGGCAGGGAGGATCCCTTAGGTGAGGGCTACGATCCCTTATAATTTCACCCCAATTGGAATGGGGCAGGGGGGGGGAGATCACAGCCAAAAATGCATCATGCCTTTCAATGCCCATAAGGCATATTTGCTTTCTAAAACAGGGTCATAATTTTTGGGTGATGAAACAACCCCTGAAATTTTCATCCAAACTGGACGGATGACAAAAAGTTACAGGTGGGAATGCATTTCCCTGAAAACCAATGTATATGCTGCTTGAATAGAAATGGTCTCAAACACAAGGCACAATTCAAATACAATTTTGAACTAACAAAATAAGCCAAACGTAACTGCTGAATTGCAACTGATAATGAAGCTCAAGACAATGCATACTCGTGGACTGAATCGAGATCTAGGTTTCCTGTCTCATTACCATGCTGATTTCTCCATGCCTCTGCACATCACACCTAATTCACAGCTGCTATTGCCATTCGCCTGCTATTGTCACTCGGCATCTGAAATCACTCCCCTCTCCAAGTTATAAGGATAGATGGACACATTCTAGCCGTATCTGAAGACGTGAACACTGACTCACGAAAGTTCATATCCTGTCACAAATTTTGTTAGTCTTAAAGATGCTACTGAACTCTTGCTCTTTTCTATTGCTACAGACGGACTAACACTGCTACCCATCTAAATTGTTCACATTCTCTGCCCACAGGCAAACCAAATGGAAATCTGGTTATGCGACTGGCCAGTGCCTTTAAAATAAATTTTAAAAATCAGATACATAAATCCTTTAATGGAAAGTGCCATCAAGTTGCAGCTGACTTATGGCAACTCCATATGGTTTTCAAGGCAAGAGAGGTTCAGAGGTGGTTTGTCCTTGCCAGCCTCTGCGTAGCAACCCTGGACTTCCTTGGTGGTCTCCCATCCAAGTACTAACCAAGGCTGACTCTACTTAGCTTCTGAGATCTGATAAGATCAGCCTAGCCTGGGACATCCAGGCCAAGACACATAAATCCTCGCCCCTTAGAAACACAGGCAGGTTAGCCTAATCAGATACAGACTTATACAGGAGTACATGCAGCGCCTATGAAGTGACAGATAATATCCTGAACTCTCAGTGATGCCATCAACTGAACCTGGGAGATTCTGCGAGCCAAGCAGATGCTCTGCTCCTGAGTTGGGGGTCCCTTCTGTGTTTGCTAGGCAAGCAATGGAGGGATAACTGAATGCTCAGGTCAGGTGACCATGGCCTTCCAGGTCAAAGTGGCTCTTGCGACGTTACCATTCCACAAAAACACACCAAACACAACCGAACAATGAAAGAAACCACCACCACAACAGTGGAAGAGCAGTCCGACAGATCACGACAACCCTCCAACGTTGCAGGCAGTCATGCCAGTAGAGACTTTTAGGATCAGGCTGTTCAATTCTACCCGTAAATGAAATGTGTTCCCGCTAAAGCAAATGAAAGAGCTCACCAACTGGAGCTAGGGCACTACAAAACTCTCTCACTCCTGGATAGTTGGTTCCACTGTTCCCTCTAAGGTGAGTGAGTGTGAGCTAGCTCACAGTTTTTTAGCCTCTGGCTCACACATTTCTGTTTTAGCTCAGGAAGGAGGGCTCCAGAGCAAGCTAATTTATGCAGCAGGCAAATCGCTCGCTCACAACTTGAATGCCAGTAGCTCACAAAGTAGAATTTTTGCTCACGAGACTCCACAGCTTAGAGGGAACATTGGTTGGGTCCATTTTTCTTAAAGGCATCCCACATTTCTTCCCTTGGGTTTGCATAGTTCCCATAATGTTCTCAACGTTTCAAGAGAATTTTTTCTCATCTTAATTAATGAAATTGTGGTTAATCTTTTCTTATTTTTTTAGATTCAACTGATGTGGTCAGGTTATCAGAGGCAAGACAAAAATTATATCAAGGATCAGACCTGGCCATTGAGCTACTATTCTTGGTACATATTATTATGCTTTGCTCCATCACCTTGAGGAGCTGCGGTGGCTCAAGTGGTTAAGACACTGAACTGCAGGCTGTGGAAGGTCAGTAGTTCAGCAGTTCGAGACCCAAGTGTGCCGCATGATGGAGTGAGCTCCCGTCTCTAGTTACAGCTCCCGCCAACCTAGCAGTTCAAAAGCAAGACATTGCAAGTAGATAAATAGGTATCACTTTGGTGGGAAGGTAACAGCGTTCCGTGCGCCTTGGTGTTTAGTCATGCCGGCCACATGACCACGGAAACGTCTTCGGACAGCGCTGGCTCTTCGGCTTTGAAACGGAGATGAGCACCGCAACCCTAGAGTCGGACTCGACTGGCTTTCGAGCAAGGGAACCTTACCTTTACCTTTTACCATCATCTTGACAGGGTAGACTGATGTAGGGTTTCTTACTCCGGGCTGGGAAATTCCTGGAGATTATGAGGGTGGACCCTTGGGGTTTCGGGAGAGGATGGACTTCAGAGGATGTAATGCCACACCTTCCAGAGCTGCCATTTTCTCCAGGGGAACTGATCTCTGTAGTCTGCACATTGGTTGCCATTCTGGGAGATCGCCAGGCCCCATCAAGAAGCGGGCTACCCTAGGCCCAAGGTCATTTTTTGGTGCCCTGGCCAAACTTTGATTTTGGTGGGCCGCCCCCAATTTAATAGAGAGCAGTCTAGAAGGCACACTTTACTTGATTGGGTGTTCAAAATGCACGATATGAACATTAAAAATAGATATGGTCTTCAAAAGGTCTCTATGTTTGATTACGGCTGCTACAGAAGTCCAGAGGCAACAGATACGGAGATTCTAGAAGCCCGTAAATGTCAAGCTTCCCTTCAAGCTACTGGAGGAGTCTCCTTTCCCCTTTTAGGTGCCCCTCAAAACCTGGCGCTCTAGGTGATTGCCTGGCAGGGAAGATGGCACAGTACAGCCTGATCTCGTCAGATCTTGGAAGCTAAGCAGGGCTGGTACTTGGGGAGTCTGCCAAGGAAGGCTTTGCGGAGGAAGGCAATGGCAAACCACCTCTGCTTCTCACTTTCCTCAAAAGCCCCTCGCTAGGGTTGCCATCAGTCAGTCGCAACTTGACACCACTTATGTATGTAGGTGATTGCCTAGATGACCCAACCCAGTGGTGCTCATAACTCTTGTCACCTTCCAGACAACAGTATATTTAAAATATCTATATACAGGTTTTCTGATTCACTTCATCATGCACTGATTGCGGCAACAAGTGCCAACGTTTATGCAAGTATGAATGAGCCGCTGCAGATTAGCCAAAACAGGCAGAGCCTTCCCATCACCATACGGCAACAACAGAGACTGTTCACACCCTCCAGGAGTCATCATGTGACATGTACGACTCATGAATCAGCGCTAGCTACACCTTTCCCATTTGATAATGACAGTTCATTAACTGAAACTTTTGTCACAAGTTCTGCAGCAGGTGTTATTCTCTTTGGTGCACACACAGGTCAAAAGAGGTATCGTCTTTGACGAGGCATTCCCTCCTGGACCAGAGATGAAGAATGCCTCCTCCAAGACAGCCTCTGCCATTTTTGGCTGCATTAAAACAATTTTGCTTTTAAAATCTCCAATTGATTGGGGCGCACTTTTAACCCACCAAAGATTTCTTAATTACCTAATCCGATTAAGGCTGCAATCCTGAACTCAGTGAGAAAAACATACATAGTCTTGGACCATAAGCATCGGAAATTCTAGTAGTACTAGCATGAGAAAAGGGGATACTTGCAGATTTCCTTATCAGACATGAAAAACCTTTTCAGCCAATATTTTCTGTCCTCCTAATGTAAAATGACTAAACTGAGGACATCATACTTTGGTACATTATGAGAAGACAAGAGGCACCAGAAAAAACAATAATGCTAGGCAAAGTTGAAGGCGGCAGGAAAAGAGGAAGACTCAACATGAGATGGACGGACTCAATAAAAGAAGCCTTCAGTTTGCAAGACCCAAGGCTGTTAACAATAGGACGTTCTGGAGCCAGTTTGGTGTAGTGGTTAAGTGTGTGGACTCTAATCTGGGAGAACCGGGTTTGATTCCCCACTCCTCCACTTGCACCTGGCTGGATGACCTTGGGCAAGCCGTAGCTCTGATAAGAGCTGTTCTTGAAAAAAAGAGCAGTTTCTGTGAAGAGCTCTCTCAGCCCCACCTACCTCACAGGGTGTCTGTTGTGGGGAGGGGAAGGAGTTTGTAAGCCGCTCTGAGACACCTTTGGGTCACTATAAGTCAGAAGCAATTTGATGGCAATCAACTAGGGTTGACAGCTCTGGGTTCGGAAACACCTGGAGATTTTGGGGGTGGAGCCTAAGGAGAGCAGGGTTTGGGTAGGGGAGGGACTTCAATGGGGTATAATGCCATAGAGTCCACCTTCCAAAGTGTCAGTTTTCTCCAGGCGAACTGATCACTGTTGCCTGGAGGTCAGTTGTAACAGAGGGAGATCTCCAGCCACCACCCGGAGTTTGGCAACCCTACACTTAACACACATAGTGTGACTGTTTAATATTTGATAAAGAACCATAAGCATAATTTGCAGTTACCTTACGGCGTGTGAGACAAGTTGGGTGGCATAGGGCAGCAGGCACTGTATGCTAGACGTCCCAAATTTCCCCCTGAGAGGAAAATCTTTCCCAGCATCAGGGTCTTCCCCAGTGTATGCTAGACGTCCCAAATTTCCCCTGAGAGGAAACGTTACCGTAGCACAAAGCCGTAGTATTGCCTTGCCCCATACTGCACTCTTTTGTGCAGCACAAGAGACCTGGAAATATTTGTCCATTTGGGGGACCAATGGTGATGTTTCAGTTCTTGTACAGTGCTGCAGCTGTGCAGACAAGCTCCTACCTCATGCTGCGTGTGTGAACTGAGCCTTCAACTTTCAAACATAAGTGGGCGTCAACTCATTTCCACCTTTTAAACACAGAGACTTCTCAATGCTTACCAAACGGTTCCAGTCAATTGCAATTCTCTCTCTGTAGCTGAAGAGAAACACCGAGAGGAAACCCAGGGAGCTGAAGCAGGCGGTCACGGACACAAACATCACCCAGCCTTGCAGGAGTGGCAAAGGGATTTTGGAAGCAGCAACTAAAATCCAGACAAGTGCTCCAAGTAGCTACAGTGGGGGGGGGGGGAATCAAGAAAAACAATATAAGTTGAAAAATAAATGCTATAAATAAAAACATTGCGGGGAGAAACTGACAGTGAAAAGTCTCTAACTCAGTGGGACTGCCGCTTTTTGAGCCTGTGGGCATCTCTGGAATTCTAACACAGGGTGGTGGGCACAAGCACCAAATGGCTGCTGCAAGAGGCAGAGCCTTCCCCCCCACACACACACAGAGGGAGCCCACGTGCAGGGGAGAAGAAGGGCCACTGAAGAAATACACTTGGAAAGAAGAGTGACAGAGAGAACAAAACAGGGACCCTTTTCAAGCTGCCTTTGTATTCCATTTTAGTAACTGGTTGCTAATGGGTTTTTCCTGTCATTTCAGACAGACCTGTTTTAATAACCAACTGCTAGCGGAATTTATTTTCCTGTTCATACAAACCCGCTTGCGTCCTGTTAGCAAAGTGTGGTTGAGCTGCTTTAGAGGGAAACTGCTTTTTTTCCATTTTCAGCCCCTTGGTTGCGCTTCTGAATCACTTTGGTGTGCTGTTTAAAATATCCATAGTGCTTCCTACAATGTTGCCTTTTCCCACCCTTTTTCACCACATGATCTTCCTCAGATGTTTTAAAAACTTTCTAAGGTGAGTGCTATAGTGCTAAACTGGCACCACTGAGATGCATCTCAATGGTGCCGGTATAGCACTTCAGTGCTATATTGGTTTAGTGCTATAGCGCTCACCTTAGAATGTTAAAGGGGAAAAAAGAGCCAGTTTGGTGTAGTGATTAAGTGCGCGGACTCTCATCTGGGAGAACCAGGTTTGATTCCCCACTCCTCCACTTGCACCTGCTGGATGACCTTGGGCAAGCCATAGTTCTGTCAGAGCTGTTCTCTCAAGGACAGTTCTGGAAAGAGCTCTCTCAGCCCCACCTACCTCACAGGGTGTCTGTTGTGGGGAGGGGAAGGGAAAGGAGTTTGTAAGCCACTCTTAGACTCCAGGTGAAGGGTGGGGTATAAATCCAATCGCTTCCTCCTCCTCCTCTTCTTCTTCAAAAATGTCTGAGGAAGATCATGCAGCGAGAAAGGGCAGGGGGAAAGGCAGCGCTGTTTGAAATGAACATAGCGCTTCAGAGATGGCTCATTAACAGAAGGAGATGGCTCATTAACCCCCATCCCTGTATCGCTTTACTCAAAATTGGGCCAACTACGAGTAGCATCCGGTTTAGAACGATAATGTGAAAAGGACCCAACTCTGTGGTGGCAGCTGCTGTTGACGCGTCATTTTAATCTGCACAGCCGATCAGATCTCTAATGGCTAACCGGTAGCCCTGTTGGGGAATGGCCCCGCCCATATTGCCCCACCCACTTTCTAGAAACACTTGGTGGCTGCCAGGAAAGGTGTTGCCGGGTGCCCCTGCTGTAGCTCATCGTACCACCTGGAGAGAGTACCAAGGCTGATTTAAAGCTGGACGGAGTCAAAGCTCTTTCCTGTGGGACTTTACACTCACACAGTGTCTTGTTTGTACTGGACTGCTACCTGCACAAAGCAGATATGCCATGCAAGTGCAAAGTCTCATCAGTATGACAAGCCTCGACCTGCTGGGAATTCAGAACAGTATCCTCTGCAAAAAACGAAGCGGCTTTCATTCAAATGACTCTGTTCTCTACGAGTGACAAAAATGTATCTTGGCCCTTATTCCCAAGTCTACTATGCTTTTGTGTAAACCGTTGGACCAGCACACACTCCAGTGTAGCACTGGGAAGTCACCTCCCACCCTACCTCATCCCACCCCAGACTCGTCCTATGTCTTTCGCAGCATTATGAAATTCAGGAACTGCATGCAAAAGAAACCCATTGCCTATTGCACAGCAGTTAAAGACGCAGCAGGGGAAAAAAAACTGATAACCTTGTTAGACAACGACATGTGTGTATGTGAAAGTGCAGTCAAGTCGCAACCAATTTATGGCAACCCTGTACGGATTTCAAAGCCAGAGACAAACAGAAGTGGCTTGCCAGTGCTCGACTTGACTGGTGGTCTTCTAGCCAAGTACTAGCTGGGGGTGACCCTGCTTAGCTTCCGAGATCTGGAGAGATCGGGCCAGCCTGGGCCACGTGCAGAGTCTTTAACAGCACGTGGAAGCTAAAGCAGCTGAAGCTTTCCCCCAGTGGTGCCACCAGAGTTAGTATTGGGTGCTACAAGTCAAAACACTTCAGTATTTACAGGGTTAATGATGTTTGTTATGATCAACAGGAAGTCACATGTTTTGTTTGTAACCAATCTGTTTAGACAACAGAATGCCAGGGAACTTTGGAGCTAACTTGCTAGTCCGATTGGAAACCAAGGTGTCAAGCATTTAGCATATTGGCTCTTCTTCCTCTCTTTGTTCTGACTGAGGAGACACCATTCTCTTCCCGTTTTACCTTTTAGCTGTAAGGATGTAGGCATATTAGCTCTTTGTTATTTTATATCCTGTGTACCTTTTCCCCGTGTTAGGTTTATAGTAAACTTTTATATTTTAAAACACACCATGGATTCCGTCTCTTAATACTCTGCTGAGTCACTCAAAAAGAATCCCAACAGTTAGACTTGAGGAGTAGAAAAAAGCCCATGTCCTCGCAAAGGGGCACCCAATGGTATGCTGTGTAGACAGAGGCGTGGGAAAGGTTTGCCCTGTACACCTCCATCTTTATTCCTCCCCCAGTACATTCTGGGAATTGTGGTTCCCATACATCTGATATTAATGGGGGGGGGGAGAGTTAAGATAATGATAGGGCTGGCAACTCCAGACTGGAAAATTCCTGGGAATTTGAGGGTGGAGCCTGAGGAGGGTGGAGTTTAGGAAGGAGAAAGACCTCAGCAGGGTATAACAGCACTGAGTTCACCCTCCACAGCTGCCATTTCCTCCAGGGGAACTGATCTCTGTAGTCTGGAGATGGAACTGCAATTCCAGGAGGTCTCCAGGCCCCACCTGGAGACTGGCAACCCTAACCCTAACTCCGGAGTCTAAAATGACTTAACCACATCACTGCTTTCCCCTTAATATTCCATGGCTGGAAAAAGTTTCACCTATTTCCTTTCTTCATGTTAGGCTGGTGTCGAAGTCACAAATGCAAAGCCAATTCCCCCCCCCCCCAAATGTGCCTTCCTACTAAAAAGAAGCCATGAAAGTGTACCGAGCCGCTCATCTTTCTTTAAAGAGTTGCTGTTTTTGAAGGATGCTATCCCACAAACAAAAAAAATGATCCAATTGTTTCAAGAATTTTTTTAAAAAACAAAAATCTGTTATTGTGTCACATCAAGTCACAGCTGACTCACGCAAACCCCACTGGGTCTTCAAGGCAAGAGGCGTTCAAAGATGGTTCGCCTCTCAATAGCGACCTTGGACTGCCTTGGTGGTTTCTCATCCAAGTACAACCAGGGGTGTTCCTGCTTAGCTTCTGAGAGCTGACACACTCAGGCTATTCAAGTTGCTAATGCTTACTCCTAAGCAGAGCTATACTCTTCTAATGCCTCTAACTTTGATGGACTGAGGCCCCTGCCACACGGCAGAGAAAACACTGGGCAAAGCGCGGCTTCTAAAAGAGAGTCCGTGGCGGGAGCCCACGATCCCCTGAGCCATGGCGCCGTTGCTCCCCGGCACGATCAGATGCCGGGGAGGAAGAGGCGAGGGGGAGGCTGCTGAACTGCGCATGCTCGAGCATGCGCAGTACGCCCGGAGGTCGGGGATGCGCCGGCAAAAAGACGCGCCGGTGATCCCACGGCCGGCAGTGATGCGGCCCTTCAGAAAGAACCACCTAGGTAGGTGGTTCTTTTTTGCTGCGGGTTTTGGCCGGGAGGGGCGGATTGGGAATGGGCTGGGAACGGGCGCAGCACGATTCCCAGATGTTGCTGTGGGATCGCGCCCGTTTGCTGCAGCCCCGATCCGTCCCTCTCCCGGCCCAAACCATCTAGTGTGAACAGGGCCTTAGAAGGGCATAACTCTGCTCAGGACAGCATTGCAAATCTTAGGGGTGTTTGGTGTTGTTTTTTTTTTAATGCAGCTTCTTAAAGCACTCCCATACCTTCACCCCATCCCAGAGCTTCATTTTCAACACTGGCTGCAAAGCAGCAGTAAAGAATCTTCAACAACACACGCGAAAGAAAGGAAACTCAAGCTCACCAAAATAAAAATCACTGGGCTACCCTTGTAAATGCTTCTGAGCTACAGAACTAATAGAAACTGCGCATAAGCCAAAGGGGGAAAAAATAGCCTCAGATTTAAGTGGCGGGCAAACCTTCAGTATTCGTAATGTAGAGCTTTATTAGAGTTAGATAACCATCTTGGGGGAACAAGACAGCTGAATTGTCAGTCTATCGTGCACAACGTGGTTTACAGACTGTAATCAGGAACCATTAGTACACCGGGGGAAGGCCCGGAGACCAAGCTTTGCATGCACAGCTGTTCCCGAGCTCAATCTCTCTCATCTCTTGGCAACACTTATGATGGGTCTAGTCCGTGTCCCTGGCCAGGGGTTTTAGGTAGGGCTCCGAACTCTGGAACGGGAAATCCCTGGATATTTGGGGGTGGAGCCTGAAAACAGCAGGGGAGGGACCTCAGGAGGGTATTATGCCAGAGTCCACCCTAGGGCTGCCAACCTCCAGGTGGCAGCTGGAGAACTGCTGGGATTACAACTGCTCTCCAGGCAACAGAAATCAGTACTCCTGGAGGAAACGGCCCCTTTGGAAGGTGGATGCTAAGGCATTATGCTACACCAAAATCCCTCCCCCAAACCCTGCCCTCTTCAGGCTCGATCCCCAAAATCTTCAGGTATTTCCCAACCTGGAGCTGGCAACCCTAGACTCCACCCTCCCGAGTAGCCATTTTCTCTGGAGAACATATCCCTTGTAGCCTGGAGACCAGCTGCCTTTCTGGTTGGTCTCCAGGCCCCATCTGGAGGTTAGCAACCTGAGTTCTAGGAGGCCCTGATTGCAGACAGCTCCAACACAGTTCTTCTAGGTTCCATGAAAGA